TAGTTTATTCATTTGTAGACATAGAATAAAATTATTCTCCATATTGAGTCACTTTGATTCTATATGAGGTTAAAATTACTTTGCTCTCAAATATGTATGTTCGAAGAAAGATAACTCTTAAACATTTAGCAAATATTTATCATAGATGTAATGAATGGATCGAGGCAGGGGTTGGGGTGGGGGATGTCGTACAACATCATCCCATAAATGACCACGTCCTGGCTGTGTACAGTTCAAACAAGTCTCCCTATGTGCTGCATTGAGTTTCTGGTCTCACCAGCTCGTATAATATAGTGTTGAGGCTGTAGAATTGGGGTTGAATTCTACCTGTTCTTTTTAAAGATAAGAACTATTTCACATGCTGTTTTTTTCTACCAGTACAAAATTCTGTCCTCATCACACTTTTTCCCTTTAAATTCTTTTGTTGTTTTCCATTTTGGCCTCAGATATTCAGCGATATTTAACTGTGATGTCTGAGTTTTTTCTCTACCAGTACAAAATTCTGTACTTGCCATCCTTCTTTCCTTTGAATTCTTATGTTATTTTCCATTTTAGATTCAAATATTTTAGTTGGTTTGTAGGCATCAGAAGTTGTAACTTGCTGGATGCAAGGGAGTGATGAACATCTTTGACTTTTTTGGTTTTAATGTGTTTAAAGTATGGGGCCATTTAAGGTTTGAACTGCTATTGTCATATATATAGTGGTAAGTATGATATAAACAAAGTTTATTTACAAGTACATGTATGTTGATAGCCTGAAGTTGAGTCTTCAATGAACATTTTAGAAAATTGACTGATTTAATTTTCCAGGGATGAGCATGTATGGCTCTGGCGACAGTAGACAAACAGGGGGTATTACTTTATTTTCTGTAGACTAAATATTATTGGCTGTGTGGTTAAAATCTGTACCAGTTTTCATTTAGTATTTATTTCTCTTCTTTGATATAACATTCATCAAATCTATATCAAAACTATGTTTTCATTTTCATATAAAATTAAAGGGGAAAAAAATAAAAAATAATTTTACATCTGTCTACAATTTTGTTTACAGAATATATTACTAAAAATCAGTAAGATCTACAATACATTGGCACTTTAATATATCTAAAAACTAACAAACTTTGGATGATGGACCTTAGGTTTGAAATTCTCTTCTTTGATAGTTGGATATTTTCTTTTCCTTTGGATGCATAAATAACATTAAAATTGTAGATTTTTAGTATTAATACCATATTGAGTGCTTTATCTTAGAAGGGTCATATTTTCTCTAGTTATTTTTTACCACACCTGGAACAAATTTACAAGGTTTGGTTTTGGTACCACACCTGGAATAAAATTGCAGGGTTTAATTTCCACACAACACTGTAAAATTGTCCACTGTCTACTAACTCTTTTTTCTGCTGGGCAAAGAATTTGTGGATTGATAATTTGCATATATTTTTTACAGGCTTTTAATATATTTGAAAAAAACCTTCCTACAAAATTAAAAAGGCAAAGAGTACCATCAACAGAAAATATCTTATAACCATTAGCACAATCATGAATTATTTGTTTTGAGTCATTTTCCCCAAAAGTATTCAACATAAGTCTTATATCTCACAACGCATTTCAATGAATTGCAGTTTTTAGAATTTGGAGATTTTGTCAACAAAAAGAAATAATAAGCATAAATGAAAAAAAGAACTTCAAGGGGACAAACTCTGGACCTATGAATTGGTGATCCTTTGCTTTATAATGTTGCTGTTGAGCGATTTAAAATGCAAAGTATCAAAATGAAAGACGATTAACTTATCAAGGGAAATGACTCGAAATCATATTCAAAGATGAAAAACAGTTTTTAAATTGAAACCTTTTTCAGAATTTAAACTTGTGTTGTGGTACCCATGACCTAAAGTTTAAACGTTTAAAATAAGAAGGAACTGATTCCATATGTACATACTTTTAAGTAAATATAATGAGTTATATAGTTTATATCTACTGTATATTTAACAATACAATTTGTATTTATTTTTGTTGCTATAGAATCTAATATAAGTGTCCAAGGTAACTTTCTGCTCACACCTGTATGATATACCGTATATATCTCCAGTACATCGATAGCTGTAAACAGATTATACCCAAAGCAGACATAACAGATCATTTAATATATCTATTCTAATACTTCAATTTGTTCAATCCTTCCAGGAAACAAATCTTTAAAACAAACTTCTACGTCATAGAACGTTTATAGCTTTAGTCATTCTTCATCTATATTTTACTTTGTTTCAAAGGTGGTTATCGCAATGCAGGTAAATTACTTTTAAACTGAAATAACCTTAGTTGGCAATTTTTTCTCTTTTTCTCAAAAGCTAACTATATTAGGATGTTTTCTAACTATAAAACTTTTCACAAACATCTGCTCCAGTTTTACACCAGCACAGTGTCAAAACTTAAATACAAGAAATACACCAGACTGGAATGATGTATTGGGTTTTATACTGTTGAACTTAGTCACATGTTCAATTCTCCACTGGAGTGTTTTGAGGGTGCTGAATATCACATAGTATTAACAAATGCTTTCACATATGTTTGCGCAAAGAAATATTCCAACGTCAGTGTGCACATATCCTTCATATAGTGAATGATTCAAGGCTTTTCTATGAATGTATCATGTCTAGAAAATGTGTCCTGTACAACTCCAAGATGTTTGTCCCAAAGGTCAAATCAAAGGTCAACTCAACTTAATGCGTGTCTGAGCACAAACATTTGAGAGACTGAACTTCTTTTCAAATTTTCATAGATGCATACATTTTTACTAACTAGTTGTTGACCTACATACAAATGTCTTGTTATAAGGTCAAGGTCACCATCATCGGTCAAAGGTCAAGGTATTTTGTTGCTTGTCCCAAAAGTATAGCTATAAGGCCTAAAGTTTTTTGTATGAGACTTAGTGTAACACTTGCAGCACTTGTACAGAAGGTCAAATCACTGGTTACTATTAGTTAAATAATTGAAACTTAAAGGTACAATACAGATAAACATATTTTAAAGGTTATAATTCAAAAGACATAAGAAGTAAAAAGAGAAAGTCTGTTCAGAGGAAGTTTTAAGTGTATTTATTTTTAAGAAAAATAGGATATATATTATCAAAATTTATTCTTTTTTGAAATGAAAAATAAATTCTCAATCAAATCAAGGTTGATAAGGGGAGATAGCTTTGGAAATTTACATCATATGATAATATTCTGTCAACAATGACAAATTTGAATATGAGTGGGTTTGAGTTACACAAGTAATTCTCCATGTTTTCAGGACTTATCCATTTTGGAGTAGTTATGTAATTATTTTTCTCCCACAACCACTTTAGGTTTCCTCATCCCAAACTCATTTGGACTTTTGGTTACCCACTAGTGGGTGACACACTGGGGGCTATTTCATTGGTCAATCTTCTAATTATGATGTCAAATAACAATGCTTTGCGACGTCACTGTGACGTATGTATGACGTCACTGTGACGTATGTATGACGTCACTGTGACGTACGTTCAGAAACAGGAATGATGCATTCCCAAGAGAAATGTTTGGTTTTCTAGATAAAATATCTGAACGTTGTAGGAGGAAAAGGTCCTCAACCTCGTGATGGTGGATCATCATGTTTATCAACTCTCGCTAGTTAATTTTCAAATTGCAAAAGAAACTAGGTAAACCTCAAGTTTTTAAACAATTTGTATTTGTATATCAGGTTTGTTATTTAAAGCTGACAGTGCAAGCTTTCAATTGAGATAAAAAAAATATCTCGTTATTTCTAAGGAAGTGCCGACATTTTAGTTTGTGCTTGCTTGGTAACCAGTATGGGTCTCACTGGGTTCAAAAAGCGTCAAAAGGAAGAGATAATCATTAGGGAAGATCTTGAAACCAAAAATAAAAAATAAAAAAATTGAAATCTATTTAGCTTGCACTGTCAGCTTTACGCTTTGAACTATTTTCAGTTGACATTCACAGTGAATTTTTCTGCCAATCAAAGACAACAACTCCATGGATACCATGTTGAATATAACAGATTTTATATGGCATTCATATCACCTGTGAATGGCAACTGAGAGCAATTCAATGCTTATAGTACAATTTTGGGAATATTTTATTCTGATGAAATATGATAAGAGGATACCATGCTTTAAGACTAAACCTGCATGCTTTTTATTCATTTTGACAGCTATCTTCCAGGAAGTGATTGTGGTATCGAAAAATCCTGCTGTAGACATAAATATTTTAGCACTTTTTGTGCTTTAAGTATTGCGCTATATTATCAATGCACTCGTTGAAGTTGATGTATGTTGTTCTCTATTGTATATTTTGTGGGTGCGCCAATTCATCAATGTGCTAACTTGTCAAAACTTGATATTACACTAAAATTTGAGTGCGGTAAAATAAGTATTTTTACAGTTTTATGACATTATAATAACAACGTGGTGATGACAATTGGCACATGGTATTTCATCATTGATATAATTGCCAAGTGAATTTTGTAGGGTATATTTTATTGCCAAGCAATGGTAAATTTTGTTTGGTCCATATTGAGATTACAGCGTTAACATTCCGATTGTTCTTTGTTGTAGGGGACCGAGTGATATTCGCAGAAAGTCCGTCAGCCCCTGGTATACCAGTGGTGTATCGCACTCCTGATGAAAGGTCTTCCAATCCAGACAGACTCAACCTAGACAGGTCTGTTTCCGTCCCGTAAAAAGTATACATAACACTGCTAACCATGTGTTAGGTGTTGAGGGTCCAGAGTGTCGGACAGTTTCCATCTCCATAAAATGTGTAATGTTTACAATCCATCTAGTCACGTCTTGAGGTCCATAATTCAACAATTTACATCCCCACATCTAATGTTCTGGATTTCAACTCTGTTAGAATTTCAAAAATTAAGGGGAAAATATGGAATACTGCGAAAGGATCTATCAGATGTAACGTCATCCACTCATCCACACTACCAACGAATGTATTAATGTTACAGTTATTTTTCACAAATTAATGTGCAAGTGTTCTATATCCAAACAAACCAAAATCACAAGTTACTTCCCTTTGATCATGAAATACATATAGTAAAATCTATGGACATAACATTACAGTATGTCTGATACAGGTCAGTAAGGCATAAAACTGACTGTTTTAGTTATAGATGTATTACACGTACATTATATCTGATACTAGAGGGAGAGGAGTAAAATTGAGTGCATTTTATTTATAGAGATGAAGGGCGAGGAGTAAAATCATGTTTTAATTATAGACGGAAACTGACAGTATGTCCGATACTGGAGGGAGAGGAACAGCTTCGGCTGCTGAACTACCAACACAACATGATCAACAAGATCCAGCACCTCAGCTCCCTGAAGCGCCTCATCTTCCTCGACCTGTATGATAACCAGATTGAGGAGATTTCCGGCCTCAGTGCACTCAAGTCTTTACGGGTACTCATGTTGGGCAAGAACAAGTAAGTGGTCCCAGCATTACTTTAGGATTTAACGGACACCAAACATGTTCCTGGAAGAAATATCTATCTTATTAGATCATGTTGGGGACTGAAGAAATATTCAGAAATGGAGATAATAGCTGTTCAAACGTTTTTGAGTCCATTGCATTTTTTCAAGTATTTTGATGCAAGAATATTGTAGACTAGTTTTATGTATTTTAACCCAGTCACCCCTAAAGTCCCATTTGAACCTTACCATATCAAAGACTGGGTAAGTTCAGTTTAAATATGTAGGGGTGAATGAGATAAACGTAGATATAATCATGTGTCTAAATCTGTATTCTTAGAGATTTAGACTAGCATGTCTCCAATAGTAGTCCATCCAGAGTTTGATTTGAAAAAATTGAAAATGAGGCGATTGTGAAAAATTATTGGTTTTTAAAGAAATCCGACAGACCAGGGGGGAAATGTTTTTCTCTCCAAAAATGTTAAAAATCAGGGGAATATTGGAGTATAGCCAATTGCTTGGTTTATTTGTATGCTGTAACATTTTTCATCTTATTTCAGAATTAAAAGAATAGAAAATTTAGAAACACTTTGTAAACTGGATGTGCTGGACTTACATGGTAATCAGGTAAGTATACTACCAGTGTTGTAGAAATGTTTGTAGGATGACACAATTCTTCTCAATCTGTTTTAATGAATGTTAGTTTGATGAATGAAGAAACTTAAACAGGTATTTATCTGACAATCAAAAATAGCAAACAGGTGCACAGTGGTGTGTTGTGAGGACATAAAATGATGGAGAAACAGAAAAAGAAATGAATGACCCTTCTATATATAATTGCTATAATACCTTAACTATGCGTTGCATCAATATTAGTACACTTGCAAACCTTTCAAACAGTTGAATTAAAT